CAAAATAGATGTTGGTCTTTTTTTCATATACAATCTTCATAGTCAACATCATCACATCATGCATTTATTGAATCAAAGCATGTGTCATGTTCATGCTACTGGTCTACTGAGTGAAGAGCACAGAATATGGTTGAATATTGAGAGCCTAAGAGATAATAAACAGAAAGGTTCTGATTCTACTAGAATTATTCTATAGTGTATGGATGGGCTCAAAAAAAATGAGAGATGCAGTTTTGCCACGAATTACTGCTTTTCATTTCTGTGGGATGCAGGTTGGCTAGTAAAATTTGCCTGGGTTTACATTGGTTTCCAACAGCTACACTAAATACTGACTTCTCAAAGTAATATATAAGAAGAGTTAGCACTCTAAACAGTAGGCATTCATGAATGTGATCTATGGAATGATGTAAAAACTTGGAGTTGTTCCCCAAACCTTTGAGACTCACTTTCTAAGTGCAGAAAATGAGAGGAACATAACAGGCAGAGTCTCTAGGGAATGGAGCTCTTGATTCATTTATCACTTAATAAACAGTGGCTGTGCTTTGTTTCCAGAGCCTGATTGCCTCAAAGTGTTGGTCATTCAATACAGGAGAACACTGGTGCACACATTTTCTGTGAACTGGACAATAATAAGAAAGAAGAACTCTGCTCCTCAGAACTCCTCTGATGCTTGGAAAATTATCAGCTGAACATCTTGCTGAATATTAGATGGACTATATTTGTGCTTCCGCCTGTAAGAAATGGAGGACAAACAGGGGTTCCTCTTTTATTTAGAGGTACTGTTCAAACTGTAAAAAACTGAGGATAACTGGTAGAAGGTATTTATTTACCTGTTTCTTTGTTACCCAGGGCTGTTGCTTTCCGAGGAAGTTGGGCAGTGGATTGTACTTCTACACATGTTTTCCAAGCCTGTAGTACCTTGAAGTGTTGCTTAACATCTTCATGCAATTTGCATGAGGCATGTAAATTACAGAGCATGTGAGATGATGCATTGGATTAAAGAAAGAACACATTGGAATTTCTGTTTTTATTTATTTTTAGGGAAAAGTGCATCGTCTATTATCCAGAGACTTTGTGTGCTAACCGCAAGCAGTAAATTACTCAGTATTAATCCCAGCCCTGGCACAGAATCATGGGGATGTGTTGGAAGTATGTCCTCTTCTTGTTACAATTGGCAACTACTGATTTGGTGAATGTGCCAGGTCTACTACCCACCTTTGTCTACACTCACACTCATAAATTAGACTCAAAACTTGAAAAATATCCTACAAAAGACCTAACTTGGCCTTGTTTGTTTGTTTTGCACAAGCACAAGTTAAAGATAAGGAAGAACTCAATTTTCCCTAACTGCGTATTAGCTACAAATCTCAGTGTTGTGTGATAAAGTTAATGACAATTTGGGTAATTCTGGCAAGACACCGTTCCATTAAGGTAGTTATGATCAGAAATACTGATGATACCCACCACTGGGGACAGTTCCTGCATTGAGCAGTAGACTTGAGACTTTAGCTGACAGAAGCAATGGTCAGAAATAAGACATTAACTGTACAGTAAGTACATCCTTCTTTTCTTCTGTTAAAAAGTGCCTGCAATCTTTCCACTCTTCTCCTTTAATCCTTTCTTGTGTCCAGATCTATTATTAGCAAGCTTCCGGCTTTAATGTCTTCAATTTCAAACTCTTGACTGTGGTGGCATAGGGTTCTGTGGTCTGAATGACCAATCCCTCTCTCTTCAGTGTTCCTCACTGCTTGCTATCGCCATCCTGGCATTGTGTTTGTAGCACACATTTGTTTCTGTTTTAAGACTGTTCTGCCTTCTATTTTGTCTTCTATGTGTAGTTTCCATGTAATCCTACAGTTAGTATAGGAAATGTTTCCCACTTCCGAAGGCCGGTGATAAGTGGAGCTTTCCCCTTCACTTTAGTAGATAGTGCAATCTGTACTTCCAGATCCAATGAGAAGACAACCTTTATATATATTCCAAGAAACCTCATCCACAAATCAAGCTTCTGATTTTTTTTATGAGTTTTAGCTTTCTTTTTCTGACACCACCATAATTAAGTTACTTGAGATTACTAGTTACTTGTATAATTTAATGAACATGCTGGCTCAGATAAATAATGTTTCTATGTTCAGAAAGGAGCTCCAAGTAAGATTTATTTTATATTTTTAACCAGAAAGTTGCTTCTAGATTATATTAATCAAATAATATTTTACTTGGGCACTTGGTTTTATTTCTAGCAAGCCACTAGGAAACACAACTTCTAAGTGTCAGCATACTCTGAATGCTCTTGAGTCTCTGTTGTGTGTCTTGGTTTTTGAGATTAGCTTTCTTCTAATAGTTAGGCTGCTCAACTGGGAGTCTCACCTTCATTTATTATTTTTCTTACTGAAAATATCATTAGAGTGGCCATCTACATCACCATTGAAAGTGAAAAGGTAGGGCATCTTTTGTAAGCAATGCTGAGACATTCATTAATAATTTTTTGGTTTGTCCTGGGGAAAGGGGGGGTCAGCAAGGTGTTTGTCCCTGAGAGGTCTGTTTCTACATTGTGATCACTTTGAGCCTCCAGCTTCCTTTTATAATATTATGTAATTATATTCATTATAATATTATGTGTTATATAACATTATACACTCATCCATATTATAATATTCCAGGAAAGTTTTCACCTCATCTCATTACTTTCAGGTCATAATTGGTTCTGGGCTTCAAATAACAAAGTAAACAATCTGGTAGAAACAGTGCTAGCTATAGGCAACAAACTCCAAGTGTTACAACAGTACATACAAATCTTTCTTTACATATACTTCCCAGTTATACAGTATCTTCTTTTAGTATTTTTTTTACAATTTTCTTTCATTATTAAGAATTTATAGCTCAATAAAAGCAACAAAAAAGAATTCATTTACAAATCATATTAATATGTAATGCATACTAATAATACATCACATATATGTGTATATATACATATATATATATTTAATGCTTAATAATACATGTTCCTGATATAAATTACCAAGTTCTTCTCTTTCCAGAGGAGTGATTAGTCATGCCAAGATGAAACTGACTTAAAATAAACCTAAGACCCTGAGACACACAGAGGTCAGGAGCTACTGAGGAAGCTGATGCCTTGGCGGAAGGTCATCTACATGCAGTTGGGAAAGGTTTTGGCTTTTTCCAGATGTGCTGTGCAGTAAGGGATAAACAGAGATTAATATGCTCAATCACTCCTCGTGAAGTTTCTGGTGTTTTATTCCACTAGCTGAAGCCGGTAGGACACTGGCTAGAGCAACTTCTCAGAACATATTAACACAGGCATGAATGGAGAAGATCTAGAAAGTTGAAGTTCAAGTGAAGAATCATCAGAAATTCATTAAAAAAAATCAGACTCAGTGTACATCCCAAGTTTAAAGTTTGAGTCTCACAAATTATATTTTTTTCAGTGAAGTGTCCTAGCTGGGGACATCCCCATGGACACCTGGGAACCCCTCTAGAGTCACGCCTTTTGCCAACCCCACAATGCCTTAAGAAGAACTAAGATATCTTCTTTCCTGCTCCCATATCCGTCCTTCCTCCATCTCAACCATCCTACTCTCCCAAGCTCTCCCCAACCCTCCCCTTCTCCCTTCTCTCTCTGCCTCTCCCCTTTCCACTGCCCCACCCCACTCCCATGCTCCCAACTTTTGCCTGGTGATCTTATCTGCTTCCAATTTCTAGGAGGATCTATATATGTTTTTCTTTGGGTTCACCTTATTACTTAGCTTCTTTAGGATCGCGAACTATAGGCTCAATGCCCTTTGTTTATGGCTAGAATCCACTAATGAGTGAGTACATATCATATTTATATTTTTGGGTCTGGGTTATCTCACTCAAGATAGTGTTTTCTATTTCCATCCATTTGCATGCAAAATTCAAGATGTCATTTTTTTTTTTACCACTGAGTAATACTCTAATGTGTATATGTGCCACACTTTCTTTATCCATTCTTCCATTGAGGGGCATCTAGGTTGTTTCCAGGTTCTGGCTATTCCAAATAATGCTGCTATGAACAGAATTGAACAAATGCTTTTGTAGTATGATTGATCATCTTTTGGGCATATTCCCAAGAGTTGTATTGCTAGATCCTAAGGTAGGTTGATTCCCAGTTTTCTGAGAAACTGCCATGCTAATTTTCAAAGTGGTTGTACCAGTTTGCATTCCCACCAGCAATGGATGAGTGTTTCCCTTACACCACATCCTCTCCAGCATAAGCTATCATTAGTGTTTTTGATCTTAGCCATTCTGACAAGATTAAGATGATACCTTAGAGTTGTTTAGATTTGTATTTCTGTGATAGCTAAGGAAGTTGAACTTTTCCTTAAATATCTTTTGGACACTTGAAATTCTTCTGTTGAGAATTCTCTGTTTAGTTCAGTATGCCATTTTTTTTTGGTTTTGAAGGTTTTTTTTTTCATGAACATTCTCCTACCCAAAGTTAAAAAGTTGAGTGCAATAATGTTTCACCTTAGCTAGCAACAATGTTTCACCTTAGTTAGCAACAATGTTTCACCTTAGTTAGCAACAATGTTTCACCTTAGCTAGCAACAATGTTTCACCTTAGTTAGCAACAATGTTTCACCTTAGTTAGCAATAATGTTTCACATTAGTTAGGACAATGTTTCACCTTAGTGACAATAATGTTTCGCCTTAGTCCCTTTACCTTAGTTCTCTGTTCATTTGAAGATTTCCTTCCACCTTTCTCACTGCATGGGAATGAGCTCAAATGTTAATTATGGAACTGGCCTGTGTGCCTCCACCTAAAAAAATAAAGAAAAGAAAATGCGCGAGCATTCTTCTAGGAAATAAGTTTGTGGCCCAACTGGAGTAATCGTACTGATCTTTTTTTTCTTTTTATTAAAAATTTCTGCCTCCTCCCTGCCTTCCTTTTCTCTCCCCCTCCCCCCTCCCCCTTCTACTCCCCTCCCCCTCCCTCTCCAGTCCGAAGAACAGTCAGGGTTCCCTGTCCTGTGGGAAGTCTGGGTTATTTAGACTATTAATGTCTAATTTCTTGATTTCTTTATATATTTTGGATAGCAGTCATTAGTCTGATGTGGGGTTGGTGAAGATCTTTTCTCATTCAGTAGGATGCACTGTGTCTTTTGATTTACAGATGCTTCTCAGTTTCAGAATGGTCCATTTATTTATTGTTGCTCTTAGGGTCTGTGCTACTGGCATTATGTTTAGAAAGTGGTCCCCTGTGCCCTTGCATTGGAGATTACTTCCCATTTTCAGGTCTTTAATCCATTTGGATTTGAGTTTTGTGCATGGTGATAGTATGGATCTATTTTCATTCGTCTACAGGTTGACATCCAGTTATACCAGCACCGTTTATTGAAGATGATTTATTTTTTCAATTGTGTAATTTTATCTTCTTTGTGAAAAATTAGGTGTTCATAGGTGTGTGGGTTAATATCCAGGTCTTCAATTCGATTCCATGGGTCAACCTCTCTGTTTTTATGCTAATACCAAGCTGTTTTCATTACTGTAGCTCTATAATAGAGCTTGATGGTGATGCCTCCAGAAGTTCCTTTATTGCATAGGATTGTTTTGGGTATCCTGTTTGTTTTTGTTGTTTGCTTTTCCATATGAAGTTGATTATTGTTCTTTCAAGGTATGTGAAGAATTGTGTTGGGATTTTGATGGGGATTGCATTGAATCTGTAGATTGCTTTTGGTAGGATTGGCATTTTTACTATGTTGATCCTTCTTATCCAAGAATATGGGAGATCTTTCCATTTTCTGGTATCTTCTTCAATGTCTTTCTTCAAAGACTTAAAGTTATTGTCAAATTGGTCTTTCACTTCCTTGGTTAGTGTTACCCCAAGATATTTTATGTTATTTGTGGCCATTGTGAAATAATTTCTCTGATTTCCTTCTCAGCTTCTTTATCATTTGTGTATAGGAGGGATATTGATTTTTTTTGAGTTGATCTTGTATCCTGCCACATCACTGAAGGTATTTATCAGTTGTAGGAGTTTTCTGGTAGAGAACTTATGTACACTATCATATCATCTGCAAATAAAAGTTTGACTTCTTCCTTTCCAATTTGAATCCCCCTGATCTCTTTTTGTTGCCTTATTGCTATTGCTAAAACTTCAAGAACTATGCTGAAGAAATGTAGAGCATGGTCAACTTTGTCTTATTCCTGATTGTAATGGAATTTCTTTGAGTTATTGACACATCCTTTATTCAGTTCTTGAGGTATGGTGTTTTGAGAAATGTTTGATATATTAGCAGCTTTACAAGTTTCTTGAACCCTTCAACAGGAGTTGAACATGGTTTTTAGATAGACTAAGTCATTTTTAAGAGATTTCCTGTGGAAGAAGAAAAGAACTGATTTCGATGAGATGTCTCAGTACTTGTCCCTGTGGCCAAGGGTATCACCAAGCTGATAAGGACAAATTAACCATTTACTTTTAGGAACCAAACCTGAATTTAATTATCTTATTATAGAACTATATATTTTAATTTTGAATAGTGATTGCAGAAATTTATGATACAAATAATTATACAGTCTGAAAATATGAAATCCAACAAAGTCTTTTTGATAACTTGTATTTTCTTAAAAAATTTTAAAAGATTGTTACAGCTATCAAGAAGCTAAACATGTAGAACAGAAATTTTGTATGGATACAAAATTTATACTCATATTGTAACACCTAATTATATAACTTTATACCTATGAGCTAAAAGATTTTTATTTCAGGTACATCTATAAGTTTTGGAATATGTTTGCCCTTGGGGATGAAGCATGCTGTCTAGTTCTCCTGGTTGAGTTAGCTTTTGTTCTAAAGTTTTCAAATGTTCTGTTAATTCACTAGTGTGGAATTTTCCCAGCATCTTTATGTAAACATTTATTGCTATTAAATTTCCTCCTAATACTGCATTCATTGTGTCACCTAAATTTGGATATGTTGTGTGGTCATTTCTATTAAATTTTAGGACGTCTTTAATTTTTTTCCCTTTATTTCTTCCTTGACCCATTGATGCTTCAGGTGAGAATTGTTTAATTCCCACGTGTTTGTGGGCCTTCTAGAATTAATGTTATTGTTGAATTCTAATGTTAAGCCATAGTGATCCAATAAGATACATAGTGTTTTTCCAATTTAATATCTGTTGAGGTTTTCTTTATTACCTTGTGTGTTGTCAATTTTTGAAAAGGTTCCCTGAGGTGTTGAGAAGAAGGTATACTATTTTATGTTTGGATGGAATGTTCTATAGATGTTATGACTTAAATCCATTTGAGTCATAACATTTGTTAGTCACCGTATTTCTCTGTTAATTTTTTGACTATTAATTTATATTTATTAACTATACATTACATTTATAAATATTGCATTTATTTATAACTCTCTGTTAATTTTTTGTCTGACATACAAGTCCCACAGCAAGAGTGGAGTGTTGAAGTCTCCCATTACTAATGTGTGGGGTTCAATGTGTGGTCTAGCTTTAGAAGTGTTTCTTGCACATATGAGGGAATCCTTGTATTTGGGACATAAATGTTCAGTTTGAGAGTTCTTCTTGATGTTTTTTCCTGTGATAATATGAAATGTCCTTCTTTGTTTCTTTTGTTTGATTTTAGTTTGAAGTCTATTTTGTTAGATATTAGGATATCTATGCCAGCTTGTTTTATATGTCCATTTAATTGGGAAAATGTTCCCAAACCTTTACTGAGGCCATAAATATCTTTGAGGTTGAAGTTTGTTTCTTGTATGCAGCAATAGATTCTGTTTTTGTATCAAATCTGTTAGCCTGTGTCTTTTTATAGGTGAGTTGAGTCCATTTATATTAAGGGACATTAAAAAAAACCAGTGAATGCTATCTCCTGTTAATTTAGTTTTTGCTGTTGATTACGTTACTTTGTGTGTTTTGCCCTACTTTGGAATTTGCTGTCAATTATCAGTGTTTTTGTTGATGTAGCCAACTTTCTTAGATTTGAGTTTTCCTTCTAATATCTTATGTAGGGCTGGGTTTGTGGCCAGGTATTGGTTAAATCTGGTTCTGTCGTGGAGTTTCTTGTTTTGTCCATCTATGGTGATTGAAAACTTTGCTGGGCACAGTAGTCTGAGCTGGCATCCATGTTCTCTTAATGTCAGCATAATGCTTGACCAGAACCTTCTGGCTTTGCTTCCATTGAGAAGTCAGGAATAATTCTGATGGGTCTGTCTTTATATGTCACTTGTCCTGTTTTCTTTGCAGCTCTTAATATTATTTCTTTATTTTGTATGTTTAGTGTTTTGATTATTATGTGGCAAGGGGAATTTTTTTGATCGTTTATTTAGTGTTCTGTAAGCTATTTGTATTTTCATAGGTATTTATTTTTTTAGGTTGGGAAAGTTTTCTTTTTTGAGTTTTTTAAATATATTTTTGTGCTTTTGTTTGAACTTCTTCTACTAGACCTATTATTATTGCATTTGGTCTTTTCATGGTGTTCTATATTTCCAGGATATTTTGTGTTAAGCTTTTGTTATATTTAATGTTTTCTTTGACTGATGAGTCGATTTCCTCTATTGTATCTTCAGTGCTTGAGTTTCTGTCTTCTCCCTTGTACTCTGCTGTTTATGCTTGTATTTGTGGTTCCTGATTGCTTTTTCATGATTTTGTTTCTATAATTCCCTTGGCTTGTGTTTTCTTTATTGTCTCTATTTCAGTTTTCAAGTCATGAATAGTTTCTTTCATATGTTTGATTGCTCTTTCTTGGTTTTCTTTAAGGGAATTGTTGATGTCTTTTAATTTTTTTTGTCTTCCCCTCAATTTTTTTTTTCTTTTTGAGGGAATTTTCCATTTCCTCTTTAAGGGCCTCAAACATTCTCCTAAAGTTATTTTTTATGTCATTTTCTTCTGCTTCAGCTGTTCAAGTCTTGCTGTTGTATGGTCACTAGTTTTTACTGGTGTTGTGTTGTTCTTTGTGGTGTTGCATATGCTCTTACCTTGTATACCCATCTTTTCCTTTGATTGATGTAGTTGGGGCTGTGATCAATGTTCCAGCTGCAAGTAGATCCAAGGCTCAGATGGCTGCTCCTCATGGTACAGTAGGGCCACAGTTCCAGTCACCATGTTGGTCACTCCATGTTCCTGGAGGTTACTTGACACTCCCATTCTTTGCTCAGCAATACCAGGGGGTCATTCAGGCCTGCTCCCAAAGAGTTTGCTTGCTTGGGGCACTTTCTGCTGAGGTTGCTGCCTTTGGTCTATTCTGGTAGAAGTTCTGGCTCAGGTCTTCTCCCTTGGCATTCCTGATTTGTGCTCCAGATCCACAGAGGTCTCTGGTTGCTGCCTACTCCCTCAGAGGTCCCAGACCCATGCCTGGACCAGCAGAGGTCCTGGCTCAGGCCTAACTCAGAGGTTCCAGACCCATGCCTGGACCCTCAGAGGTCTCTGGTTCTGGCCTATTCCCTCAGCAGCTGCTCCCTTGTACCTGCTCCTGTGGAGTTCACTGTCTCAGGATTGCTCTGGCCTAGGTTGCTGGATCAGTTCTGTTTCTGTAAATATCCCTAGTCTGTGTCCACTCCTGCAGAGTTCCCTGGCTCAGGCTCAGACCTGCAAAGGTCTGTGGCTCTAGTCTATTCCTTTGCAAACCCAAAATTTTGGTGTGACCAGACCCACAAAGGTGCTACTCCCTTGGAGGTCCCAGACTTATGTCTGGACCCAAAGAGGTCTCTGGGAAGTCCTTCTGTCTATGTATTGATTTTATTGGTTAAGGAATAAATATGTTTCAGCCAGTAGCTTAGTGATGGAGGAAGGACATTGGTTAATTATAATAAAGAAACTGCCTTGGTCCATTTTATTGGTTAGAACATAGGTGGGTGGAGTATACAGAAGAGAATGCTGGGAGAAAGAAGCTGAATCAGAGAGTCGCCATGGTTCTCCCACTCCAGACAGACGCAGGTTAAGATCCTCTCTGGTAAGCCACCTCATGGGCTACACAGAATATTAGAAATGGGTTAGAACAATATGTAAGAGCTAGCCAATAAGAGGCTACAGATAACGGGCCAGGCAGTGTTTAAAAAAATACAGTTTCCATGTAATTATTTCGGGTATAAGCTAGCCATGCGGGCGGCCGGGTGCCGGGGATGCAGAACTAGACAGGAAAACTAAACTGAATTCTGGGAAAAAGAAGGTGGAGTCATGTAGCCTCTGGGGACAGTTGTCTGTGCTGGAGCCTGCCAAAACTTTGCCAATAGGCCATGACCTCGTGGTAATGCACAGATAAATGGTGATGGATTAGTTTAGGATATAAACATTAGTCAATAATACACTTAAGCTATTGGCCAAACAGTATTGCAATTAATACAGATTTCTGTGAGATCATTTCAGGAGTCTGTGTGATTGGCAAACAAACAAGTGGACTCCACATACAGCATTCAATGGCTTTCTCCCCCTCTGTGAATGGGCTCTTCGCATGGCCTCTTATTGTCATTGTTAACACAGTCCTCTTAAGTGAGTAATGATAACAAATGATCTTGTTGAGACAAGTCAAAGTCTAGTAAGATTATAGTAGATAATGTTCCATAATTTGAGATATGATTTTTCTTTTCAGAAACTTTTTGAGACAGGACATCACCACCTAGTCATGGCTGATCTGGAACTCACTATGTGGACAAAGTTGGTCTGAAATTCAGGGAGCTCATCCTCCCACTGTCTACCATGTCCTGGGATCACAGGCATGCATGAGACCCAGCTATGTCTTATTATTACTCTATGTATAAGTCAGAGAAATATGGGTAAAAAATAATATGTAAAAATCAACAATCAATGTTTTGATTAATGGTCACTTTTGAAATTCTACAATAACAATTTGAATTTGCAACTTGTTACATATATTTTCAATAACTGCACCACTTGCTTTGTTAATCTCATCCATTAAGATGTTTGAACTGTGTTTGAGTGCATACATCTGTTCCTTTGTGATTTTGTGATAGTGATAAGATAGTAGAGGTTTCTATTATCTACTTCCTCCATGTGAGCTCTAGAGATGAAACCACGGGAGTTGTCTGGCTACCCATGACCTAATGGTATTTATTTGGGCTTCAAGATTATTTATGTTTTGATGGGTGATTGTGCATATGCCACAGACCAAGTGCAGAAATAAGAGAAAAATTGCCAGAAGACATATGGGTCTCCCAGAGATAGAACTCAGGTCATCAGGCTTAGCAGCAACTGAATTTTGCTACTGAGACAATTCTTTGGCATTCACTTTTGTTCTGCAAAAGTTTTATGAACAAACATCCAGTCCTTAGAATTAATTAACACAAACAAAATAAAAATACAATAGTATATAATTTTCATTTGCAAATAAGATTTGAAAGATTTACGCCATAAGGGACCTTGGTAGGTATCACTGAGGGTGAGGGACCATGGGCAAAAAAACAGAATATGTCATGCAGAGTGTTTGGGGAGTATGAAGTTTTATTTAGGAAGATGCTATTAGAAGGCTATGAGAGAGGATTGGAGAGAAATAGGTACAGACAGACAGAGAGGAGATAGTAGAGGGAGAAGGGGGGAATGCCGAGAGCTTCCTCTTCAGAAGAAAGGCAGGAAGAGAGAGGGAAAGGTGGGCAATAGGAGCTTGCCTCAATGGGCAGAGAGATTGGTAGTGGACAGAAGTTGTCTCTTAAAGGGACAGGGGACTGACAAAGAAGGTCAGTATAATCATAATAGAAATTATTACTCAAATTATCCTCTTTTCCTCCATTCTTAAACAACAATATATTAACAACTTAAAAAGAAGAGGTAATATTCAATTTATCTTCTTTGAGCAGTAGTGAAATGGCTCAGTGTGAAATGTCTGTGGTGTACAAGACTGGAACCTGACATGATCACCATATGAAGATGGCCAAAAGAAGATTCTATAAAGTTGCCTTCTAGTCTCCACATATCTGCCATGTCCTACAAATCCAGAATCCCATTACAGACACATAAAAGAGAATTTTTAATATAAATCTCATTGCTGTTAAATTATCTGGCATCCATGAATAACGTGATTAGAAGGCAGTACTTCAAGACGAAGAGACAAATGGATAAGTAATCGGGACACGAAGAAGAAAATGAAACACTAAATAATATATAAATATCCATAGCAATCAAGCTATGTTATGAAATATAGAGTTGATTGCTGATTATCCTACTTTATTATATGTCAACCAGATAAAAGAAAATCCTGCTTTGAATATGCACATGAGATATTTACTGTTTCTTATATTCTCTATTATTCAGTAATTTCACATCAATATCATTAAAACATGTTATATCACAACAAATGAAAAGGCACAAATATACATCCATCAATGTTTACAGCTGGATTAGTTATCTAATGTAAATGAAGTGCACTGTGAAATAGAAAATAGTTATATCATTATTTAAATTTGCAGGAATTTCCTTTATATGAGTTTTCAGGGGCAAACAAAATAAAGGACACTACAGTGCTTGGACAGATGGTTAATATTGTCAGATGTATTTTTCTCCAGAGTCAACCCTCCTGTGTACCTTAATAACTATGCTGCCAGCCAGGTGGTGGTGGCACATAACTTTAATCCCAGCACTTGGGAGGCAGAGGCAGACGGATCTCTGTGAGTTTAGGGACAACCTGGTCTACAAGAGCTAGTTCCAGGATGGGCCCCAAAGCTACAGAGAAAACCTATCTCAGAAAAATATAAATAAAAATAATGTATGTTGGCAGAAGATCTTGCCAAATCCTTTATAGTTAGACTCCCTTCAGTATTGGTTTTGCAAGTCCTCAAAGAACACTGTAATATGAAAAGGTTTTAACAGATTTGATTGTGAACTAAAAGCTCATTCTTGTAGAAAAACTACCATGAAATAAAAATAAATAACCACACTGACTATACTTATAGGGTTTCTTTGCAGCATATTTTCTCATGAATTGGAAGACTTCTGATACGTGCAAAAACTTTACCATATTGGTCACATTCATATATTTGCTTTCCAGTATGTGTTCTTTTGTTTTTGTAGATTATTATGATGTTCTCCAGTATGTTTTCTTATATAAGACAAAAGATTACTGTGACTTGCAAAGGTTTTAACACACTTATTACATTGTTCAGATTTCTCTCCAGTGTGTATTCTTTTNTTTCGAGACAGGGTTTCTCTGTGGCTTTGGAGCCTGTCCTGGAACTAGCTCTGTAGACCAGGCTGGTCTCGAACTCACAGAGATCTGCCTGCCTCTGCTTCCCGAGTGCTGGGATTAAAGGCATGTGCCACCATCGCCCAGCTCAGTGTGTATTCTTTTATGCCTTTAGGATGACTGCTCTGTGAAAAGACTTTACCACACTGAACAGATTCATAGGGTTTCTCTGCAGTATGTGTTCTTTTATGCCTTAGAAGACTACTATGACATGTAAAGGTTTTATCACAATGATTACACTGATAATCTTTCTTTTTCATATATATAATTATTTGGAGAAGATTCTGATGTTAAAAAGCTTTCAAATACTGATTTACCATCACAGTTTCTCCTTAGTGTGTATTCTTTTATGTCTGCGAAGACTACTCAAATGTGTAAAGGCTTTACGACACTGATTACATTCATAGGATTTCTCTCCAGTGTGTATTCTTTTATGTATTTTAAGATAACTGTGCTGTGCAAAGGCTTTATGGCACTGATTACATTCATAGGGTTTCGCTCCAGTATGTGTTCTGTTATGCTTCTGAAGGTAATTGTGCTGTGCAAAGGCTTTATGGCACTGATTACATTCATAGGGTTTCTCACCACTATGTATACTTTTATGCCTTTGAAGATAACTGCAAGATGTAAAGGCTTTACCACAGTGATTGCATTCATAGGGTTTCTCTCCAGTATGTGTTCTTTTATGCCTGTGAAGATGACTGTGATATGTAAAGGCTTTAGCACACTGATCACACGTGTAGGGTTTCTCTCCAGTATGCGTTCTTTTATGCACCTGAAGAGTACTATAGCATGCATAAGCTTTAGAGCACTGATCACACGTGTAAGGTTTCTCTCCAGTATGTGTTCTTTTATGCTTCTGAAGATGACTGGGGCGTGTAAAAGCTTTACCACACTGATTACATTCATAGGGCTTTTGTCTAGAATGTGCTCGTTTATGAATTCGTAGTTGACTGTGACATGCAATGGCTTTATCGTGTTGAATATCTTCATAGGTCTTCTCTTCAAAATGAATTCTCTCATGCTTTTCAAAATGACTGTAATATGTAAAGGATTTAACACATTAACTATATTCAGAAGGTTACTTGGCATATGTAAAAGCTCTATCACATTCATTATAATGATCACTCTTTAGATCTGTATAAATTAATTTTACATATTGTCTAAATATATATGTATATATATATACACATACATATATGTATGTATATAAATGATCCTCTTGCCTGTACACCTCCACACCAGAAGAGGACATCAGGTATTATTATAAATGGTTATGAATCACCACCATGTGGTTACCAATGGGCCTTGATCTAATATTTTTCCCTTTTTTTCTTTTTTTATTGATTTTTATTGAGCTCTACTTTTTTCTCTGCTCACATCCCTGCCTCTCCCTTCCCCTTCAACCCTCTCCCAAGGTCCCCATGCACCAAATTCACTCAGGAGATTTTGCGTTTTTCTACTTCCCATGTAGATTAGATCTGTGTATGTCTCTCTTAGTGTCCTCATTGTTGTCTAGGTTCTCTGGGATTGTGATTTGTGGGCTGGTTTTCCTTGCTTTATGTTTAAAAATCACATATGAGTGAGTACATGTGATATTGTCTTTCTGTATCTGGGTTACCTCACTCAAAACGATGTTTTCTAGCCTTGGTCTAATTTTAAAGAGGAATTGGACCTAAAGTTTTTATCACTTCATTTAAACTCATGTTTTCCCCTACACTGTAGGTTGATATTCATCTTTGAAGATGTCTTTCATGGTAAGAGCTTTTATTACATGGTTCATATTTATAGCCTTTTGTTTTCTATATGAGATTTTTCACATATGTGAAGAGAACTGGAAAAACACAGAGCATTAAATAAATATTCACAAACTGTCCAAGAGTGTGAGTCATACTACATTTGCAAAGTGAACCAGGACAAACAGAAGTGTTTACAAATCCCCTAGTACTCATGAGGCTTTTCTGCAGGGTTACTTTGTTGATGTATTCCCAATGAAGCTGGAAAATCAATTATTTATAAACTTGAATCACAATCAACAAATCTATTCAAAGTAGACTACTACATGTCTTCTAATTGCTCAGAGACAGATACTGTTACTTCTTTCCATATCTTTATGTTCATATGGTTTCTATCCAGAGTGACAGTAAAGGAAGGATAACAAATAAACTATTTCCACCTTGCATTTCAATAGTTTGAATTTGGTCCACATAGACATGTGCTATAAGGATTATGGTTTTTCCACAAAAATTGTCCCTTGACTCTATCTGTCCATCTCAATAAACTCAGCAAATTCATCACCAGTATATAAGTCACACTAGCTTTCCTATGGTCTATTTGCTTATGAGAAGGTTTTGGCCAGATACTTATCACCTGTTCAAAGTGCACACCATTGTAATATGAGTGCTATGAAACTATCCAGATGGGCAGCTCTGCAGCACAGCTCTCACTCAGCTGTGATTCCACTGGTGATCTCTGTTGAGGTACTCTTTCCTTCTCTTCTTTCTTATTTCCTTGCAAACATAACTTTCCTCCCTGACATGGAGGTATTTGCTTTTTTTTTTTTTTTGGAATTTAATAATCATCAATACACTTTAAGCTGTGCTTATTTACATTGTTGTTTTCCTTTTAAAAATCCAGAACACATTAAACTTTCCTCAGAGGCACATTTATGTCAGCTTGCATATGTAAGTTACCTGCCATGTCTTCTAGAACTTTGAGACTGCTCTTCAATAGCATGAACTTCCCAATTGTAGCCTAAAATATATAATACCAGAAAATGTATGATATATTATTGGGAATTTTGAAAAATGTAAGTTAATATCTTCAATGAACCTTAGCACCATGCATGATTTATTCAGCACACTCTTCCTCTTTCTCAATTTAAATTACAGAAAACTCCCAATAAAAAAGAAAAACTTGCTTTCTGATTTTAAAATGTGAAGTCAATTTCACACCTTACCAATGGTAGTGAGGTTCCTGTAGGTCTCCAGCATCACATCTTCGTAGAGATTCTTCTGGGAAGGGTCCAGCAAAGCCCACTCTTCCGGGGTGAAGTTCACATGCACATCATTATAGGTCACTGCATTCTAATATATCCCATACATGTGAAAACAAAAGGCGTGATACCAACAACATTGTAAATGCATACTTATTTGACAGATTAGTCATCTATTTCTGGTGCTTTTCACACTTATTTTATGACAGGGACCTTATAATGTCATCATCACATCACTACAGAAGGAAACTGAATAGGAAGTTCACCTCTGTCATTTTTGCAATGTTTAAATGGGATACGCCTTGCAAGAGAAATGCAGTACTCAGTAAACGTCAGAGAAATTATATGACCTATTACTAACAACAAAAAAAATAATAGACATGAGCTGGGCAATGGTGGCGCATGCCTTTAAACCCAGCACTCGGGAGGCAGAGACAGATGGATCTCTGTGAGTTCAAGGTCAGCCTGGTCTACAAGAGCTAGATCCAGGACAGGAACAAAAAGCTACGGAGAAACCCTGTCTCAAAAAAATAAAAAAAAAATAATAGACATGTTGGGTTATTGATTCATGCCTTTAATTCCAGCACTTAGAAGGCAGAGGCAGGTATATCTATCTTTTTATATTCTAGATTTATGTTTTTCAAGGGAGACAAGGTCAAAATACATATTTTTGGCAAACACAGATGCCTGTAATTGTGCTGCAGTAAAAATCACAAACTAAGAATCCATGACCTTAAATTTTGTAATTTTTTTGTGTACAGAACCAATTCAACCTCAATAATTCATCCAAATTTGGGGTCTTTGTTGTAACAGATCCTGCCATGCCTTGAACAGAGTGTAGGAGTTTAAGTATGAAGTTGTTTACTTGGAATAGGAATCTCTTTGTCTATCCGTAACTTAGATTGAAGGCTGAGTTGGATGGATTCCTTCTAGGTATCCAGTGCTGAGCCAGGGCCTTTTCTTCCATGGTGCTAAACATGCTGAAATTTCCTACCTCTGTTTCACCATACGACTGACTTCTGAAACTACCAAGTGCTGACTTTCTCTACAAAACAGACTTTCTGCCACACTAGTTTCATTGCCAATAAACACCTTAATGAGATGTCAGTAATACCATCCAAAGAATTCTACATTCCATCTAAGATAGCATCCCATTCTTCTTTTTTTTTTTTTTCCTGAATTCAATTCCAGTTTATTACCTAGGAACTCATAGCACAGAGGCAGCCTCAGGCCAGTGGCTTCCTAATTGTTTAATTTAGCAGTTTCCCCCAGACTGCCTTCTTGTGCTCCTGGGACACAGGGCTTCTTGGTCCCTGGAAGAACACTGGCCACTCCTCTTCTTGCCCTTTGCTAAGTCCTCTTCCAGTCCCTACCCTCTAAATATCTAAGTGCCCCAGAGCTCGGTCTTCAGATATGTCTCTTCAAAGCTCTCTCTCAGATCTCATGGCTCTCCTACCTACCTGTGACAGCCCCCAGATGGATGTCCTGCCTAAACCTTCCCTGATGGGTTCCATACTGACAAACCTGACTGTGCCCTCAACCCCTTGTCTTAGACTCTGTGGCTATGTGACTGCCTCTCTAACACTAGCTACACAGAGACCCACATTGGAGCACCGGACTGAAATCTCAAGGTCCAAATCAGGAGCACAAGGAGAGAGAGCACGAGCAAGGAACTCAGGACCGCGAGGGGGGCACGCACACACTGAGACAATGGGGATGTCCTATCGGGAACTCACCAAGGCCAGGTGGCCTGGGTCTGAAAAAGCCTGGGTTAAAACCGGTCTCGCTGAACATAGCGGACAATGAGGACTACTGAGACCTCAAGAACAATGGCAATGGGTTTTTGATCCTACTGCACCTATTGGTTTTGTGGGAGCCTAGGCAGTTTGGATGCTCACCTTACTAGACCTGGATGGAGGTGGGTGGTCCTTGGACTTCCCACAGGGCAGGGAACCCTGATTGCTCTTTGGGCTGACGAGAGAGGGGGACTTGATTGGGGGAGGGGGAGGGAAAGGGGAGGTGGCGGTGGGGAAGAGACAGAAATCTTTAATTAATAAAGAAATAAATAAATTAAAAAAATCCCATTATTCTTAAATACTGCCTTATTCAGTTTCTTGCTGCGATGCCAGGAGCCATGTGACTTCTTCAAGTGACAAGGCCCGAGAATAGCATGAACAAATTCTCTTTGTGGCTCGGCCCTGGAGTATGGATGTCCAAAAATCTGAACCTATTTCCACCTTTTCTGAAGGTCAGAGAGTTTCAACTTGCTCCAAGTTATTGCCTTTCCACCCCCAAAGGTCAGAGAGTTGGAACTTACTTCTGTTCCTTCAAGGTTATTGTCTGTTTCTACCTCAAACAAAGGTTCCACACAGATTCAGATCAGAGAGTTCTGCTTGCTCTCAAGTTGATTTGCAACAGGTGTGGCTAATATCCAGACCTTGTATTTCAGGAATAGAGAAATATTATCTGTTCTAAGGATCCAACTAAGTTCCTATTCCAGGTGAGAGATCTGAATTCCATCCAGGGGAGGAATGGTTTTCCTGAGGCATGTTTTGGTCTAGGATGTGAGAGCTACTTGTCTTGTTCTAGTAAAAGAATGTTTGACTAAGAATGTAGCCTGCAACCCTCAACTGGTCTGTTCATTTCCTTGTATCAGGTTAATGTAGTTTTTTTTTTTAATCTTACTTCTGCCTTCTGGGGTCTGGGGTATTTTAAGCAAATGGAAATTAAAAGCAAAGGATTTCAATTTTCATTGGAACGCCCTCCTGGTACTACTCTACGTTTTCTGTTTTACTGCTTTTACTCTCATCTTTGTCCTCTTTACCGAACTTTCAAATTCCCATGCCCCTACCCTGATAAGTGATATTTGTATAGAAGCTGGTCTCTAACACTGGAGAACTGGACCCATTTTGGCAAAGCCTATGGACAGTTCTCTGCATAACTCTAGGCATGACCCCAGGAGCCTAGGTGCAAACACCTCTCAAGGAACAGGTTCTACCAGTAACAAATTCTCTTTGTGGCAAAGCCATGGAGAATTTAACCAACTTTTGGCAAAGCTGATGGATAATTTGCTGCATAATTCTGGACATGACCCCAGGAGCTTATTGCTGCCTCTTCTTCTTGTTTCTCTTATAAAAATTACTTTTGACTGCCTAAAGTTTTACTTTCTTAGAGTTATGGATGAAATGGCTTTTACGTAGGGAAAGCTTTCCTCTGGTGATTCTCCTCTGCATGAGCCTGAGAGGATGTTGTTAACAAAATACAGTGATCCTGAATTAGCTCCTAAAGCCTTTGATATTTCAAGGGTGACCATAAATTAAGGAGTCTCAAGAATAGGATATTATCTTTCCATTGCATTTGTGACCTGAATAGTGTCACAGTAGTCCATGACATCACAAATCTGGATAACTGTTTTTGGAGAGACTGATTTTAAGCACAACTGTCTTGGAGAAAAGGTCATAAGTAGACAGTATCAGGAGTTAATGGGAACAGTCTAGGAGTTAGGAAAGAAGCAGACTCATAGACAGCCATAGCATCCTCCTTTCTAACAACTGTGCTAATACTAAAGGAAGCTGAGAGGCAAGAGACAAGAGAACAAGGGATAAACAATCCCAACTATGAAAAATAAGCTTTTTAGTTATGTTCCTTACAGGATGATAGAATAACCTGCTCTATTCCCACAGGAGAAAGAATAGCACAGAACGTAGAATGAGTTGATTCAGCTTCAGCTGTGAGTGACTGTGAGAACTTAGGTTTCACTAGACGTAAACATTACCACTAGACACAACATTTTCTTTCACTCTTCATGATGCTTTAACCAGAAATGTTGCCAACCTGGCACACTGTTCTACCTGTAAGTGTGACTAGTTAGAAACCTTCTTGTGTTATTTGCTCTACTATTTATGCTTTTAATAGTAAAAGTATGAATCAAGTAGGTAATGGTTACCACTGGGAAAGTTGGGGCTGGAAGGAGAATAAGAGAACAAGCGGGAAATTATGGTAACCATTATTAGAAACTTGAAGAACAAATTTCATTGTAAATCTGTTTATGCAACCTATTAAGACTGTATAAATATAAATGGCTCAGGCTATGCAGGACCATTCGTATGAAACAGGTGGTCAGGGTTTCATCATTGAGCAAACATCAAACGTTCATTACTGGTAATCAAACCAGTGAGGAATTAGGAGGTGGCACCGTGAACATGCATGAGAGGAAGGTAATTTACTGGACATTTGTGTAGTGTGAAAAGAACTTCTCCCTGAGTAACCTGCAGAGCCTCTGGGAATGAGTCCAGGCGAGGAACAGTAGACAACTGAAGAACTTCTGAGAAGGTTGGGATGAAGAAAATGGATAGAATACAAAAATAAGTGACGTTCCATCATTTTCCAGATAAACAACAATGTAATTAGACTATACCTAGTAAAATCACACGATATAGATGACACCAACGATAAAAGGACACACAAAGGGAGATCTACAAATTTTCCATGGGCTGTTAGCCAAGAACTACAAGATTTTAACAAAATAAAAATCAAAGAAGTCACCCTGGGTCCCGCAGTTCTCTCCTTTTCCCGTGATACAGAATGGCTTGAGCAAGAAGGGCTGTTCCACCAAAACTGAATAGATTTTTCTAGACGCCTTCAGGTGTTTCTCCATTGTAGAAAATACTTCTGACTACTAGAAGAATCTCATTCCCTTATGATAAAGAAAAGGATGTCTCTTAGGATCACTTAGAAACTCTTTTGCTTCCTGTAACTGATGATTGGATGTGAAGAAATGAAGACCAAATCAAAACAAATGCAAGATAACAGATATTTAAGTAGACATTGTGTGGTTTGTATTATACAACCAAAGCAACTTGTTTTCCATATGTGTATAAGTGGTACACCAGATAAGATTGTTTCAGATTTCCTATATCTGGAGTAACAGACTTGGGTGCTGGTTTCTATATTCAGGTCAACCCCAAGAAGGACACTTGCTAAATGACATGCCCAGCCCACATAGTACATTTTACCCAATAAACTAAAAGTATTTCACAGATTAACAAAAACCTGAATAAAGAAAGAAGTAGGTAAATGCTGCCTGGGAACCTGATGCATCAGTATTAAGATTTTTGGAATGTGACCAGGTAGGCTGCCTGCAGACCTCCCTTCCCCACTATCTGTTACCTAAGACCCAATACCCAGGGTTACCCCTAGAGCTGCAACAGATCACCAGCTATAAATTCCTCTCACTTGTCCATGTCTCTGTGGATTCCCAGAACATCGTCACCGGCCCATCCCTTCTTGTCTTTCTTCCGCGTCCCCACTACAGCTGATTCAGACCACCCTCCAGCTCAAATACTCACCGCATCTGCCAGATGACCAGGTAAGCTATTTGCATATCTACCATATTATCTGTTACCCTAGATCCAGTTTTCACAGTTGCCCCTAACGTTGGACTAGAACACAAGAGACAGCTTCCCATTACCCTTACCCTTTCTCCAGGCCTCCAATAAATACCTAGGATAATCTCCCACTGGCTTCCCCTTCCTCTAGCTTCCAACACCAGACCAGCAAGGATTCTCCTCTGAACACACCAGCCAAGGTCAGAAAAAAAAAAAAAGGCACTACTCACCAACTACACGCTCTGAAATTCCAGGGAGCAAACAGAAACCTAGGGGAAAAAAAAACTCCCATCCAACCAAGACTTTCCCAGAAATCAGCACCTAGACATAATTCCTCCAAACCCAGATTCCTAGACATAGGAACATAATCCACAACAGCCAGGGAAGTATGTCACAACAAAGCCCGGGTATCCTATCTCAGCTGCTCCAAATATTCCAACAGGGCTGAACGATGACAAAAAGAGATTAAAACTATATAAAGATGGCAAAGGCTCTTAAAAGGAAACTTATTAAGTTCCTCAAATAAATTCAGGGAAACAAAAAAAATTGTAGGAAACAAATAAATCCCAAAATAAAGAGAAAAAACCAATAGTTGCAGAAAATAAATAAATCTTTTCAAGACCTGAAAATGAAAATGGAAGAAATAAAGTGAGGGAATTCTGGAAATGAAAGCAGCCTGGAAGGAGAAGAGAGCTGTCTGCCAGCACTGGGCTCACAGTCAGGAATAGGTGTTCACAGCAATGTTCAGTTTCATACAGGGAGGCAAGCTCCAGCTAGAGGGGATGTTGACTCAGTCCAGTATTTTCCAGTTGTCCTGATGCTGTGACCCTTTTTATATAGTTGCTATTGTAGTGGTATTCTCCCCCATTATCTCCATTGCTACTTCATAACTGCAATTTTGCTACTGTTATGTACTGTATAACAAACATCTGTGTTTTCTGATGGACTTAGGTGACCCCTGATCCAGGGTTTTGACCATGAAGGGTCATGACCCATAGAGTTACAACCACTATTCTAAACTGATATAAATATATAAATACATAGATAAATAGCAATTAAGGAAAAAAATGAAATGAAATTCTTAATGACTAGGAGATGTCTGGAAAATAGACACAACAAAGCATAGAGCAGTAATGCTTTTAAAATGAAATTTAAAAAAGGGTATCAGTAATTGACTTGTTAAAGAGATAAGTATAACTGGAAGAACACTTAGCTAGAATGACTGAAAAAAAGTGGGCATTCATTGTAGAGAGAATGTCATCCATAAGAGACTGTATGACTTTGTCTCATGTAAAACATGAGCTGCCGAGTGCTTTAAGTTGACAAAGAGTGACAGTCAATGGCCTGCATCTCAAACCTCTCAGGTGACCTTACTGTGTCAACCAGGATTGCACACATCTGCATGGGAGAGTTCACTAATTGAAAATTAAATATTTATTGGTTAAAGCTACCCTCCCTAAATTCTATTCTCATCAATTACGTTTATCTTTATTCACGTGGAAAGAATTAATACATGCTGGGAAATACACAGAGTCACTCACTGTGCCCCTTCACATCCTTCTTTATGATGCAGAGCTCTGAGCTCACTGCTAAAACATTAGTCTGTGATCTATATCTACTGCCTAGTCCGTTTCCCCCTGCAGTACACACAGGACACTGTTCCTCCTCTTCTGCTCTGAAGGGAGAGCCAGGCTCCACATGCAAATCCCTTTACTCTTCCTGCAATTGACAGTCCACTCTGTGATTCAAACTGGTAATTTTAGGACTCTGTAACGGTGTAATCCAAAAACTTAGGGTGCTTAGTCAGAGGTCTAGCAAGGGCAATGTCCTCTGGGACTATAGACAAAGTTCAAATCAGTCTCAATCAACATTGAAGACCTTGTCTCAAAATTGAAGACTGTTTTTCAAAATGGCTTAAAAGGCAGCTGTTTAAGAATTGATATGTTTTATGTCACAACAGGACTTAATGTTGGTTGTGACCCTTTAATGCCCCCTTAAGGAGCATGATAGAGGCCTGCTCTTTGAAGTAGGGGAGGGGGACTTTTGGCCCAGAGTAAAACAGTGTTTAATCTTTTGTTTTTTTCTGGGAATGTAGCTAATGGCTGATTAATGCTGGTTAACAAACATTTACATTTGACCTTAGTAACCTCTAACAGGCGTGGTTAGCAAACTACTTGTTTTGGGGGTATTTGCGAGACAATTCTTTCGCTAAATTCTACTTTATGTGACTTCATGTCTCTCTAAGATTTCGTAAATGCTTATACTATCAATAGTGTTACCACTAATTCTACTCTTCTGCATCAGTTTAGCAGGGGAACGCTACTCTACCTAGGACGTATCATTTAAAAGTTCCCCAAAATCAACCCAGATGGATCCTAAACCTAAATGCTAAATTTTACAAGCGCAGATCTTCTTGGAAGACACTACAGAGACCAGGGTTCTCTGAGTTTGTCAATCGTTCCTTCCTTATTGATAACACAAGTACTCAGACAGCAGTCTTTCCCAGTAAAGTCAACAGGAGGGACATTTCTAAGTACGATTACACGCCCCGATCTTTTCACAGATGCAGCCTGTGGAGTTAAATTATTCGCAAACGGCTGCCCCGGCCCAGGGAACGATAACGATCACGGAGAACAACCGCAGCAAGGCAGGAACGAACACGCCAAATTCAGCGTCTGCCCACTAGCTCCCACCCAGACAAGGGAGGGAAACACGGGCGTCCGTGGATCAGATGGCTGCTCCGCAGAGTTTGGGGACATCGGTCCCTCACTCACCATGGCGTGCCAAACTTCCCTGTTTGATGACAGACGCTCATAGTTCACCATGGTCCGACTGCACAGCTCAACCGTGATTCCCTGCACCTGGAACCCAAGACGCAGCAGACAGGTAATTTGCGACTTCCTCAGGAGTGCATACTAGGGAGGAAACAGGAAGAACCCTCCTACCTGACAAGCGCATTCGCTAGTGGCTCTGATTGGCAAAATGGTGCCTGAGTGACAGGACATAGTGAGAGGAATGGAACAACACGATGGTTCTTGGCCCTAGCTTTGCTTCTAAGCTCAGACCTATCCCAGATTGGATGGGAATTTGTGCCAAATTTGTGTAAAGCAACGGGTTCTGTTTTAAAACTAAGTATGCATAATCAGAAGGAGGCTAATCAGACAATGTTGCACAAAACAAACAGCGTAACTCAAGAATATAATTAAAAATGTTTGCAGTGGCATTAGGGCTGATAATCTCTGGCATGAAAGAGTTGGGTTCTCAGGACCTGAAGCACCCTCTTCACGAAGGATAGGGCTCCAGACCATTAACAACTCTAGCAAGCATCTTTCTGATTTCAGAGAATGATACTGTTTCTTTATACATCAGGTCCTGGAAGAAACGCCTCTAAGGCATAGGTAGCAGGCTGCCAAATTTGGAGAGACCTAGTTCTCAAGCATTATCTGGAAATTCTGCACTTTTTCTTTGAGATTTAGGTGTAAGATTCGTTTGGAGATTATTTGAAGAGGTTGCATATGGCATCTTACATTCTGGGCAGAACAGCACTGTTAGACCGTGATCTAGAAGAGCAGAATTGATGATATAAAGGATTTCCCAATGTTTAGAAGATATTAAGTGACACAAGGTAGAATTTAGCTAAGGGAGGATTGCCTCTAAAAGACCCCGAAGGTAAGTAGTATGCCAAGAAGTCCTGGTTGCGATGAGGATGCTAGGGAGTAAAATGTGTATTCACCTTTTGTGTATATTGATTGCTATTGGTCACATTCCTGTGGTAAAAAGAGCAAACGAGATGCTTATCAAAAGGGAGCTTAGAGAGATACTCTGTGTAAAGATCTTTCTATAGTAAGCTGGAGCATCATAGTTTTAAAGGGATTACTGAGATTTGTTGTACTGGATTCTGTACTCATGAATTTGATGATGGATTTGCTGTTTCTTTATATTGCCTACATACAGCCATTAAAATCCAAAAGCATAGTTATAGTAACAGTGCTGTGTATTATATGAATAATGACTTGTGTTTTTGCTCAGGTTTAGTTTAACACATTGTACCTAAGAAATACTAATTTATTGTATTATCTCACATACAGTTTCTATTTAGCTTTCTTTTATTTCGTTGTTGTTGCTCAACATTATCATAACACAAAGAAGTGGCACCTTCCTATGATCCGTTGTGCCTGCTTACAAAGGAAAACCACCACCAAGTTTGCTGACTGTAGATATTCCATCATAGAGGAGGTATTAGAGAAAGAAAGCAGTGCATATAAGAACATATGGAAATGTCTTTAGTAAAGAAAGACTTACTTATATTAAGATGATAATGACTGGAAGGCTCTAGAAATAAAAAGACTGGAAAGCTTTTGGAAATTATGAAGTTATAAGTAAGTTGTTTTAGGTACATAAAGGATGAGATTTAATGACCACATAGTCATTAACTATGGCCACAAATTAAGATTGCCAAGTTCAGATATCAAGTATTGAGGAGAGGTTGAAATGTATGTCAAGCAAAAGTTTATTTAATTGTTTCTGGCTATCAAAATATTTTTTCTAAATACACACACACACACACTGCACACACATACACAGAGCAAGAATCTGGTGAAATCTAGGAATTGTGAATAAGAGAAAGTATGACCCTTTATCACCTATTGCTTTGATTATGACAAGCATTAACAAGAGAGTAGCATGCGGAACACAAGTATTTAATGAATCCTGTATTGACAGCCATGCTTCCAGAAAGGGAGACTCAAGGAAACGTTCATATGGTTACATTAAGTGTGTGGTACATAGGTCTGTAGTGAAAATGCCTATGAACAATAAACTGGGGGTGATTCACCAAGACTGTGTGCTCAATACATTCTCCACACGGCTCTTCAGAGGTACAGACAGCATTTTTCCTACTCACAGAAGGGTGTCTCTGAGGAGGGACATCACTGTCCCTACATTGTGGAATGTCATCGGATTTTATGGTCTGCTTTGGGGAATGTAGGATTAAAGAGCATACGATCTTCTCGCTTTTATTTTCTCAAATGTCAGTGTATCATATTTGGGGTGATATCATGCCCAGACAATCTTCAGACCTTATGTCTTATCTCAGCAAGGGAGATGATGACAGATGCAGGCATGTTTTCACTTAGTAGGGAATACATTTATCCTGGAAGAAATGAATGCTCCTTAGAGGAACAGATTGGAGATACAATAGTCATGAAAAAGTTGGTCTACTTTTCTCTCTTGTAACAGGAATGAGTTGAATATTTTCTAGTTGATGTTTTGATTTCCTTTGGAAGAGTCTACCTGTCAATGAGGGAATTCAGACTCTTCCTTGTTGTACTTATCGCTTCCCAGATGCCTTTAGCTCAAAATAATCACTGTATTAATATCTCGTCATATACGCACACCCCAAAGACACTCCTATGTAACACATCGGCCCTACTTTGTGTAAGGTTCCTTTTTCTTTTCTCTATTCTTTCTTAGTATGGCATCTTTAACTCTTTTTACTAATGCTTAATTTTTATTATTTGAGTATGCATAAATGTGTCTCTGTGTGTAGTTTTTGTGCATAGGAGTTCATGTGCCCTTGAAGGACAGAGGTGACAGTAGCTCCTAGGGAGAAAAAGAGACATTTGGAAGATATCTGCTATGGGCTCTGAAAGTTAACCTGGGTCCTTTGCAAGAGCGGTGTACACTCTTAACTGCTGAATCACCTCTCTAATTCAGACATCTTTTGCTTTGTAAAATAACCTATCCTTTTCCTTTTACAAACCAATTCCAGTCCCAACTCCCTTCAATCCTCCCATTCTATCTCCCCCCCCCACAACACCCACCATCCACTCATCAGAGAGGGTAAGGTAGATACATTATTTTGAGGAAGGTTCAAGGCTCACCTTACTATATCTAGGCTAACAAAGGTATCCATCCAAAGAAAGGGGGTTCTGAAAAAAACAGGGCAAGCAATAGGGATAAATCTTGGTGCTACTGCCAGTGGCCCCATAGTCATTTAACTATCACCCACATTCAGAGGGTTGTAGTTTGGTCCTTTGCTGCTCCATTCCCTGTCTGGCTGGAGTTTATAAACTCCCATTAGCTCAGGTAAATTGTTTCAGTGCGTTTACCCATCATGGTCTTTACTGTTTTGCTCATATTCTCACTCCTTCCAATCTTCATCTGGACATTGGGAGCTCAGCCCAGTGATCCACTCTGGGTCTCTGCCTCTGTTTCTCTCAGTTGCTGGATGAAGGTTCTATAGTGACATATAAGATATTCATCAATCTGACTACAGAGCAAGGCCAGTTTGGGCACCTCTCCTCTGTTGCTTAGGGTCTTAGCTGGGGTCATCCTTGTGGATTCCTGGCAATTTCTCTAGTGTCAGATTTCTTGCTAGTCTCATAATGGCTACCTCAATAAAAATATCCCTATCCTATCCTTGTGCTCAAATCTGTCCTTCCTCTATCTCAACTATCCCACTCCCTCATTTTTTCTTCTCCCTTCTTCTGTCCCCTATTCTTTCCCTTCTGCCCTCCCTTCTCCCCCCATCCCCATACTCCCAATTTTGTCAGGCAATCTTGTCTATTTCCACTTTCCAGGGGGCTCTATATATGTTTTTTTTGTGGTTCATCTTGTTACTTAGCTCCTTTATGGACATGGATAGTAAGTGCTTTGTCCTTTACTTTACAGCTAATATCCACTTATGAGTGAGTAGATACCATGTTCGTATTTCTTGGCCTGGGTTACCTCTTTCAGGATGGTTGTTTCTAGTTCCATTCATTTGCATGCAAATTTCAGGATGTCAATTTTTTTTTTACTGCTGAATAATATACCAATGTGTAAATGCACAACATTTTCTTTATCCATTCTTAGTTTGAGGGGCACCTAGGTTGTTTCTAGGTTCTGGTTGTTACAAGTAATGCTGCTATGAACACAGTTGAACAAATGTCCTTGTAGTATGATTGAGCATCCTTTGGGTATATGCCCAATTGTAGTATTGATGGGTCCTGAAGTAGGTTGATTTTCAATTTTCTGAGAAGAAACTAACATACTGATTTCCAGAGTGGCTGTACTAGTTTGCATTCCCACCAGCAGTGTAGGAATGTTCCCCTTACTCCACAGCCTCTCCAGCATAAGCTATTATTGGTGTTATGATCTTTGCTATTCTGACTACTGTAAGATGGTATCTCAGGGTCATTTTGATTAGAGTTTCCCTAAAGGCTAAGGATGTTGAACATTTCCTTAAGTGCCTTTTGACTACTTGAGAGTCTTCTGTTGAGAATTTTCCGTTTATGTCTGTACCCCCATTTTTAATTGGATTATTTGGAATTTATTGAGTTCTTTATATAGTTGGGAGATCAGTCCCCTGTCAGATGTTGGGCTGATAAAGATCTTTTCCCATTCAGTAGGCTGTCCTTTTGTCTTATTGACAGTGCCCTTTGCTTTACAGAAGCTTCTCAATTTCAGGAGGTCCCATGTATTTATTGTTGCTTTCTGTGTCTGTACTACTTGTGTTATATTTAGGAAGTGGTCTCCTGTGCCCAAGCATTGAAGGCTACTTCCCACTTTCTTTTCTATCGGGTTCAGTGTGGTCAGATTTATATTGAGGTCTTTAATCCATTTATACTTGAGTTTTGTGCATGGGGAAAAATATGGATATATTTGTGTTCTTCTACATATTGATATTCAGTTATACCACCACTATTTGTTCAAGATGCTCTCTTTCTTTTTTTCCAGTGTATACTTTTGGCTTCATTGTCAAAAGTTGGGTGTTCATGGGGGCGCAAATTAATATCCAGGTCTTTGATTTCATTCCATTGGTCAGCTTGTCTGACTTAATGCCAATACAAAGTTGTTTCCATTACCCTAGCTCTGTAATAAAGCTTGATGTCAGGGATGGTTATGCCTCCAAAAATTCCTT